GCATAAGAGAGAGAAATAGCGGTAAAATAATGTTATTTTTCAAATTTTCAGGTCATTTATTTTTGACTTTTTAATAGGTAGGTTCAAGGTTGTGCAAATAACAACCACTTTTCAATTAGTTTATCAGCCACCACCTAAGTTATTAACTATTTTTCAAACATAGTCTTAGACTTTCCCCATTCGGATGTAAATAATATTTTTACATTAAAAAATAAAACTTATATAAAATCATTAAAAATATATAATTTCTTTCCAACTCAAAATAAGACATAAAACTATAACAATCTACATACTTCAAAGATTTGGAAATATAAGATTTTAAATCATGAAATCAATATATCCACATTCAAAATGTATTTATGACATCACGTATCATGTTTCCTACTAAATAGTGATGGCCAAATTGGTCCGGTCGGGCCGGGCCGTCGGAGGACCGGGACCGGCAAAGGACAGACCCGACCTAGGACCTATTATGAGACCGAAAACCGGGACCGGTTGGGGTTTTTGGTAGTTTCGTGGGACCGGGACCGATCGGGAACGGGACCGGTTATGGGACCGGCTATGGACCGTATAATACCCCGTATTTGGTAAATCTAATCTCTTGATCGAGAACCAATTTTGTTCAAGTGTGAAAATGTATTTTAGTGTTTTATATCTTAGTCTTTAAGAGCCGTTTATTAGGCCTAATTATTTTCTTAAAAATTCATTTGAGTTCTAAGTTGGTTAGAACAATCTTGGTTAGGACCAAAATTGTAAAGGAAATTGCCAAAGTATGGTTATATTGCTACTAAGCTTAAGATCAACGGTTAGATAGTAAATATTGTAAATATATATAGGAAATTGTTAATTTTTTTTAAGAATTTCAGCTTGCTTCCTCTCTCTAACTCTTAAGATCTCTCCTACCTCTCTCTAAAAATTCCTCATCTCATCTTCATAAACCTAGAGATTTCTTGTTAAATCTTTGAGTTTTTGAAGAATTGATGTTATAATCGAAACTAGGAACTCAAGATAAGGTATGTCTATAGTTTATTTTTCTGATTTCTTCTTCTTTAGGACATTGGTTAAACGCTAAGTTGATTCATGATTCATAGGTTAAAAATTGAAGATTGATGAAATTTCTTCAAGTTGGTGCTGTTAGAGGAGGCAGATTCGTTTCTGTAAGTNCTAAGTTGATTCATGATTCATAGGTTAAAAATTGAAGATTGATGAAATTTCTTCAAGTTGGTGCTGTTAGAGGAGGCAGATTCGTTTCTGTAAGTTTGAAAATTCATATAAAATCAACCGTTTGTCCGATTGATGCGTTCTTTATATCGTTAGAAATGTGTTTGAGTTATCTATAACTTTCTAGTTTACTGAGAAACCTAATTTGAAATTTACATGGCTTGAAATCTTTGATTTTCCAGACCCTGTCTGCAGACACTCGAAATTGCACTCTGTTTGTATAAATTTTGTATAAAATAGACCAGAACTCCAAATTATATGAATCCAGTTGGTATGAAATTCTAAGAGGTATATGTACAACTTTCATTTTTATAAGAAAGTTTGGTTCAGCCTTTAAGTGTGAAAAAAAGGCTTAAACTTTTGGTGTACATAACCTGTTAGCTTCTGTTTGAATTGTGTAAATTTGATTTTAGCAAATGTTGTCTTTAGTCCTAGTCATTGTGTTATATGTTTACTAAGTGTCCTGGTGGTATGTTAAGCATGCTTGAAGGTCCATAAGTTCTATGAAAGGTAATAGCTTGTAGGAACTTGAAGTTGATGAGAAGTGTTATTGAAAATGGTCTAAAAGCCCTTTTTCTGATAAGTGTAGGTAATCTGAAAGGAGGGAATCATTCATAAGCCTCGAATTTTGTTTGATCATATTTAAAACACTTTCAAGGTACGAATATCTACTTTCTTTGATATGTGGGTAATCAATTGTGGTGATTATCCATTCTATGAAATCTTAATTATGACACGTGTTCACAAAAGGGGAGATGATCAAATTGGTATATGAAATTCTTTTATGTGATATATGATATTTTGGTTTATAAATTTTGTGTACCTGATAAAATCTAAACCATTACCGGTACGTTTTTAGACTCATGATCGATTTTATATAAGTTGTAACCTCAATGGTTTTATTAGACTTATTATCAAATGTTTGGTTCTTGATTTGGTTATTTGAGTTTGAGTTTATTGACTTAACTTTGAATAGGCTTAATACTCGGGGCACGGGTGTTGAGACGCCCCCATGATGGCTAAAATAGTCATGGCATTCTCATAAAGGCTACGGCCAAGCCAAATAGAGAATGYTGGATGCATCMTATGAACCGAATACCGGATAGASCCGAATACCAATTRTATTGGTTACCGGATAGAGCCGAATACCGGGTAGAGCCGAATACCAATTATATTGGTTACCGGATAGAGCCGAATACCAGATACCTCTGGTTACCGGGGAATGTGATGGTGTAGTGCCCGACACTTCCATTCCATTACGACGCCTGATTGGACTGATCATCTATCAGGAACAACGTATCCTAATGATACGGATGACCTTCTTACCTTGAATATTTTTTTTATTATATAACTTTCAATTTTTAGAGATTTACACTTAAATTGATTTCACTTGTATCGTAATGTTTCCTTTCAATTATTTATTCATATTTGATATTCTTCTTCTATTATTCGTTCACTGGGCAATTTTTGCTCAGTCGAGGTTTGTTTTGTTTTACCTCGGCAGGTTCAAAATCTAACTTAGGGGCAGAATGAAGGGTCGAGATGGCTTAGGATTCTAAAAGACTAGCGGTTGAATATAGTGTTTTTTCTATGTTGTTAGGTGAATATGTTAGTGATATGTAATATTATGGTTGTAATGTTTTTTTTCGGGAGTTCTATTAGAGCTCTGTACTATAAATGGTAGACTTTTGATCCGTTTTCGGTTGTGACATGTCTCATCTTAAGTTTAGTAGGATGGGGTGTTACAGACCGGCCCGGTCCGGCCCGACCCGAAAATTTAAATAATTTTATCAATAAATGTATTTTTAAATAATTTTATAATGTATTTTTATAAGACAATGTAATTTTAATTATGTTAAAACGTATTTTTAAAGTGTATTTTAGTGACCCAATTGTATATTTTTAATTGTATTAAAAATATATATCATTAAAAAAATTATAAAAAAATCTTACTTTTTAATGCCGGGACCGGTTGGGACCGGAACCGGCAGCCCATAACCGATTATAAAGTACCTTAATTGGTCTTACCATTTTTGACCGGTACCAATTATAAAAAAGCTTAAGACCGATCCAAGACCATTTTTGACCCTCACTACTGTTAAAGAGGAGGAGTCCACCCCAAAACTAGTGAAGTGAAGTGAACTTTTATTTTAATTATTATTATATTAAATTATAAGAAGTATTATTTATTCAATATCTAATAAACCTCAAGAGTTCAAGCCTTCCATTTATTCTCAATCATGACCACCTCCTTCCAAAGTTGACCATCTTTTTCTTTTTTCTTTTTCTTTTTTTGAGTTAATCACATAAATGGTCTCCTTATCCTCAAACTATGAAAATTGCCGTTACAAACACAAAAATACACCAACATTCCTTCACCCATGTTAAAAATGGCCTTTAATAGAAGCTCCACCATCTATAAGTTGCTACTCATGTGATGTGAAGGTAGTTTGATACTTCTATTTTTTTTTTCATAATATATTGCATATGTTTAAATATTTATAATTAAAAAACCTAACTTTTATCGTTCCGATTCCATCTTCTTCCTGCAACAGCACTGCTTAGCCTCTCTCTGCACCGTCAATCCACAACATTATCATCAGCTTTACAACTTCTTCTGCCTCTATATACCCACCTCTGCTTCTACTACTTACTCCTGCGACGATAATTACCATCTACCCTCCTTCCTTTGCTATGTCGTTGTCCTCCCCAAACCTACTAAAAAATGAAGGCTCTAGGCTCCCTTCTCCAAGTAGAGACAAACCCTTAAATTGATTCGAGTGGGAGCACAAAACTGTTGACATAATATAACATAAATAAATATTCATCGTACAAATTACAGTTTCATTAAAATGATTTATAATTGTTTTTTTGCAACATCTAATTGGTTTTTTTCTTCTTTTCTACAACTACTACAAAAAAAATAGAATACAAGCAAAAACTTTTGAACTTGTGACCTATAATACCACATGTAATGACGCTACCGATATGTTGCAACCATTTTTGGTTAATTTAAGGGAATACATATCAATTTAAAGTGGGTCAACCTTTAAGGCCTCTAATTTTTTTCTCTATTGCAACGAATCAATTAAGCAGTATTCACTCAAGGTCTTGTACATGGGTATGTCGTTGCCCATAGAACATGGTGAGTTGGTGACGGTGGTTAGGCTGCAGGGATCACAAAGAACCCATTTATTTTGGCGTTTTGTGGTTTTAGCCACGTACTGTTGTTTCACAAAACAAAGAAGAGGAGAACTGAGTTTTTTTTTTGGGGGGGAACCCTCACTTTTCGATGCTTTTGCAAGCAGGAACTGGTTCTCGGATGAGACTCTTTGCTCTTTCGTAATCCTACCACTTTGTAATTAAAACCAAATGTTGTAAAATGACTAAAATACCCCTCACATGAGGACACTTAACGGATGCCATACCCTCCGACACAACTAGGTACAATCCATGAAAACTAAAAGCAAATAAAAACCTTGTGGACATTGATATAAATTTTCTGTTGATTAGGAATGACAATTTTAGGAGTTTGAGAATAGACAAGGGCTATTTATGTAATTTACTCTATTGGTTTTTCTTTTTTTTTTTATATAAGACATACTCCTCCCACCCTCCACCAAACTTTATACAAAATAAAAAACCAATTTCCAAGAACCTACGGTTTGCCCCCCCAACCGTTGATACGTGCATGTATCCACTCATCCTCGTCTATATATATCTATATCTATATATATATACTCCATCCATCCACTCCCATCAAACACACAAACATTCTCACTTCAATCCAAAATAAATATAATTATAATGGAAGCTTTCATTAATCGCTGCTCATCTTCCTCCTCTGATCATTCGTCTTCTTCAGATTCTTCTCACAAAACCCTAAAACCCAACAAACTTCATGCTACCATTAAAGGTCCATGGAGCAGTGAGGAAGACAAGATCCTTACACGATTTGTTCAGCGCTACGGCCCTCGGAACTGGTCGCTTATTAGCAAATACATCAAGGGTCGCTCCGGTAAGTCTTGTAGGCTCCGGTGGTGCAACCAGCTCAGCCCCAATGTCGAGCATCGGCCGTTTTCTCCGGCTGAGGATCAGACCATTTTAGCCGCCCATGCTCAGTATGGGAACCGATGGGCCACCATTGCTCGCTTGCTCGTAGGTAGGACTGATAATGCGGTTAAGAACCATTGGAACTCTACTTTGAAGAGAAGACATCAATCCGCCGTGTCGGAACGGGAGGTATTGGGGGACGACGGTGGTGATTTCAAGATGATCAGTTTGAGTACAAATTTTCCGACATCGGGATCTCTGGCAGCCGATGAGTATGATCCGATGACCACGTTGTCGTTGGCGCCGCCGGGGATGAGGGAGAGTAGAAGGGAGAGTTTTCCGGCAGGGTTTTGGGATGTGATGAAGGATGTGATCGCTAAGGAGGTTAGGGAGTATGTAACGACGTCGTTCCCTGACACTTCTGGGTTTCAATAACAATTTCTTTGCATTTTATTTTTATTTTTTTATTTTATATTTGCAATTAAATGTTGGTGACACTACTTATTCAAAGTGTAATTTTGTTAATACTTTTTCATGTTACCAAATATTTATGTATCTTGTTTAATTTTATGATACCCAAAGTTTTATGAAGTTAAGAATAAAATAATAGAATTCATTATTTTACATAAAAAGAAAGACAAATTATATTTAAGACTCAGTATTAATTAAATGTATATAAAGATGATGTTTACTTTGCAAATCACGTTATTTGTATAAACCGTACAAACCTCATCCAACCCGTCATAGTTTTTCATTTTGTTTATTTTTTTTTATAATTATGAGAGGTTGATTAATTATTTTTTATTATGGAGGGTGTTAATCATGAATATTATCATCTTCATTATTTTAATTTTAGAGAAATGCATGAAACAGTTTCATTAAAATTTCACTAAGTATTATATGAAACAATTTCATTAACATATATGAAACAACTTTATCAAAAAAAAATTATATAAAACAATTTCACAAGATTTAACAATAAAATCGACGGATGAAGATGATTTGCACGATTTGTATAAATTGGATGGTTTGCCGTTTATCTGTAATTTGATAGTTTTTCTTTTTAAATATTTACTACCATATCATACATTTACACAACTAGTTTAATTATTATTTTACATAATAAAATTTCAAAAACGCATTTAAAGATAATCTGATTTGAAAATACTTTGTAATTTAAATTAAAGAGTGCATATAAATGAACAGCATTTTTAAAATATGTAACATAAAATAAACGTTTTTCAAAAAAAAGTAAATTTGAAACCATTTTTTTAAAACCATTTAATAAAAGCTCTTTATAAAAAAATGGTAAAAATAGGGTGGTTTTTAAAATATTTCGTAAAAACAGGGTAGTTTTAATTTATTTTGCAAAACTAAGATCATAAACTCAACAACTATTTTGAATCTAATCTATTTTAATATAATTAGAAGGATATCCGCACAATACAACAAGATATATCTTAATTTTAATGATTTGTTTTAATATGATAACATTTTTTAATTACACCCTTACCTTCTTTTTAGATATTATATTATACCTTTGTTATATGTCGTGTATAAATCTAGTTATTGTAAATATATAACTAAAATTAATTTATTATATTTAACAATCTTATTTTATAAAAACTATCTCAAATACTTTTAATGACACCCTCTTTATTTTCTTTATTATATTTTATGTATAAGTTTAATTTTTGTAAATATGTAGTTGATACCAATATTTACACAATTTGTATTTTTTTTTTATGTATAAAATCAAACCAGCTAAAATGTTTAAAATGTCTAAAATCAATTAATTTCAAAATTTTTATTATTATGTAAAATTAAATTAACGTAAAAAGTCCAAAAATCATGTAAAATCAAATCAACAAAAAAAATATAACGTGTAATCAAATCAATATGATTTTACTTATTAAAAATGTTTAAAATCGATTAAGTTAAAAACACTTAAAATTATGTAAAATCAGTTAAGTTAAATACATTTAAAATCATGTGGATTGTGCCACCAACTTGGTCATATCCGAAGAAATTGTCTAAATTCCCAACCAAGATTCAATTTATCGTGAAAATTGTAATTTTATTTTAATTGGTATTATAATATTGTCAGATAATAAATTTAATGTGATGCTTCATTCTATCAACATATTTTATTGTTTTGTGGTTTTGTTTTTTGTTTTTTTGTTTTTTGTTTTAAATGAAGTGTGTTTCCACCTTCCACCCATGGTTTCTAAAGGGAGGGGATCCTTTTTGCCCATGTTATAAACGTGCTGATTTACATTTTTCACACGCTAAACATTAATTGTTTAATATAAAATAAAGCAATATAATTTAATCATGTTTAATAGAAAAAACAAAAGTTTAAACCAAACCAACATAATATTCATAACCCAATATTAATTATATGATAACTAGTTGTGTATCCACACAATGCAACAGAATGTAAATTTTGAATAAATATAAGTGAACAAACCGACATACCCATAGATAATTATCGAAAAATAACTCATATTAAAAACAAGGATGTTCCATTCCTTGTAGAAGTAGTTTTTTTACCTGAAATATAAGTAAATATAGATTTATCCATAGCAATTGTTGCATCAAAAAACTATTAGAAAGATGTGTACAATAAAAGATATAAGAAATATAAAAAATGTCATATTTGTACAACATAATATATAATCTAATTTGTGGTTGAAGAGTGGGAGAAACTGTGCTTTGAGGCAGCAGTTATTTCTTACTATGCTCTGGTACATACGACCATTCCAGAATGTGACTATTTTTTTATGAGACTGAGCTAAAGAAGGCATATATATATATATATATATATATATTTGACAGGATTGTGACTCAGGCGTATTTTTAGGTTTCTAATATGAGTAGCAAGTTCAAGTGGGTGAATTGGCTTCATAATCCTCTCTTGGCTATTTCCTATATGTAGTTGTTTGTTCTAGCTTTTTGCTAGTTGTTAATAAAATCTAGTTGCTGTTAAAAAAGATTATTTTTATAATAACTATAAAACCCTTAATCTTTTACTCCTCAAATTTTCATTTAAATACTGAAAAAGAAATATGGTCATACCAATCAGTACATATTTCCATTAACTAAACAACGAATATGTTATATGTTAAAAGGATTTTTGTATAACATCGTGATTTCAACATTACTTGCTATGATATAAAGGAGGCAAAAGATACTCTGGACCAGTATTTATTATAAAAAACTTAAACGAGAACAAAGAAGAAGAAATCCAAAGACTAAACATGGGTTTTCAACAATATTCGATCTAAAGTAATTCTTGATGAATACCTTTGGACAGTTATAAAAATTTGCATCAAATTAAAAGTAATTTAACTCAAAACCAAGCGAATTAGTGCGTAAATGAATTAAAAAAAAAGGAAGAATCCATGGGGAAGGTTGTAGGTGAAATAGGAGGGGGTGGAGATGGAAACCACAATAAAAGGATTGTGGAGCAGATGGAGATGGATTCACCATATAAGGAGATGAGTTCATCGAAGAACTGGAAAGAGGGATGCTTAGTTCGCAACTTACTGTAATATATAATTTATTAAAAATATTTACGTATATGAAACTTATCTGTTTTTAAAAGTAAGTTTATAAATATTACAAACTACTAAATGGAGTAAATAACACCAATCATCCCTATGATTTATTCAAACTCCACCACTTGTGCCAATTTGCTTACATCATTCATCTATGTATCTTTTACAAATGTTAAATCCATCTGTTACCGTGAAAGGCATTTTGGTCATTTCACTATTTTTCTTATAATTTGTAAAGCTAATATACAAGTGTACAATGCATTTTTATGAAAAACGTCACCATCCTCCTCCTTCTCTGGTACTGCTCCTTCACCAAATCCTCTTCAGTGAAATCATTACAAGAAAGAGAAACGCACGATTAACTACATGGAAAATTTTTCAAAGTTCAAATTAAATCCACAATGAAAGAGACTCCCTACCCCCCCCCCCCCTTTCCCCCAAAAAAAAAACTCTAAAATAACTGCTAAATTAGTGAAAGACTTAAAAACAATAAATAAGCAGTCTTATTCCGGATTGCGTTACTCAAAGTGTATCCACCATAGATGTCGGAACATAGATATTGAATTTAAATGGACAAGACAAGTCTCTATATATGCTATTTTCCTTTGTCCAAGCTGAAACCTTATGTCCCTCAGATGTATATTATAGTCACCTTATAAAGCTCAGTGAATTCATGGTTTGCATGAATAAAATCATTTTACATTATACTTGTATTCTCTGGTCGGTACTTATTATGGGGCCATGCCACTTATCATGTGACTTATTGGTCAATGCCTACCCATAAAATTGATCATAAAACTTTCGTATGAAATAACATGCTAAAGTTATTTGAAAACAAAATAAACACATGACATGCAACTAATTATAAATAACATGATGTGAAATAAAGTGAAACATCATGTATACCTACACATCACCTACAGAAAATCATATCAAGTTCAAAATAAATTTGTACATAGATATGCACCCGTTGTAAGTCTCATGAAAACTCACATGTCTGTCGGTGTAGATCGACTATAGGTAGCTCTTGAATGAAAACCTACACATGTCATACCATAATATCTATTTAATAGTTGTATTTCTCCAAAAATCAACAATAATAAACCATGGTCAAACTCGACCTGACCTAAAGTCAAACTCCAAAAACTAAGTCTCTTAATGTCTCAAATATCTCCATTTAATATTGTCGTTAAATTCCTTGTGAGTCAAACGAGATAAAAGTCAACCTTTGGTCAATTTCGATCAGTGTTGGACAAACTCCAAGCCTAAGACTTAATGACGCCTCAAAACAACAAAATAAACATTTTATAATTTTATAAATTTATAAATTTATAAAATGATCTCTCCAAATTACAATGTTCCAATAATTATTTAACCCATTTACGACGCTTTAATCTCATCATTAAATGATTTATTAAAAACACTACCTTAGAAATAATTAATTAATATTCTAAAAATAAATTAACATATTAATTAAACAACAATTTAATTTAACATATTAATTAATTTAGAAAAATTAATTAATTAACATAATCCAAATAATTATACCTTCATCAACTTAAGCCTAAAATAAATTAAATACTTAATATAAATTAATAGACTTCAAAATAATTGTTATTTAACCAAATGTTTCCAAACTTATCTCAAAGTTAAACCCTCAAAACATGGTGATTTCTTTAAAACCAATAACTCGAGGTCATTAATAAAAAATTCAAAACTATAGGGACTTATCTGCAACTTAAATTTTTTATTTTTCCTCTAAACATATCATTTAACAAGTTTAAGGTCTGAAACTGATAAAATCCCAAAACTTCTTAAGCTCAACTCACGAGAGTTGTCCCATCGCTCCCATGGTAGTGTTAGGAGACGTAAATTCATCGGCAACTGAAAAAAGGACTGTTTTGGCCTTCTTTCTTCATCGTTTTCGGCGATTCGTTTTTCAAGAAATCGTTTTCTTCAACCATAAGAACAAGAATCAACGAAAACCATCAAATA